CATCCATCCATCTTCTCCCGCTTATCCGTGGTCGGGTCGCGGGGGTAGCAGTTCCAGCAGAGAGCCCCAAACTTTCTTTTCCCTGGCGACATCAACCAGCTCTGACTGGGGGATCCCAAGGCGCTCCCAGGCCAGCGAAGAGATATAATCCCTCCACCTGGTCCTAGGTCTACCCCTTGGTCTCTTCCCAGCTGGACGTGCCTGGAACACCTCCCTAGGGAGGCGCCCAGGTGGCATCCTAACTAGGTGCCCGAACAACCTCAACTGGCTCCTTTCGACGCGAAGGAGGAGCGGCTCAACTCCGAGTCCCTCCCTGATGACCGAACTTCTCACCTTATCCCTAAGGGAGACACCAGCCACCCTGCGGAGAAAACCCATCTCGGCCGCTTGTATCCGCGATCTCGTTCTTTCGGTCATGACCCATCCTTCATGACCATAGGTGAGGGTAGGAACGAAAATGGCCCGGTAGACAGAGAGCTTTGCCTTCTGGCTCAGCTCCCTTTTCGTCACAACGGTGCAGTAAAGCGACTGCAGTACCGCTCCCGCTGCTCCGATTCTCCGGCCCATCTCACGCTCCATTGTTCCCTCACTCGAGAACAAGACCCCGAGATACTTGAACTCCTTCACTTGGGGTAAGGACTCATTCCCTACTTGAAGTGGACAGTCCATCGGTTTCCTGCTGAGAACCATGGCCTCAGATTTGGAGGTGCTGATCCTCATCCCAGCCGCTTCACACTCGGTTGCGAACCGATCCAGTGAGTGCTGAAGGTCGCAGACCGATGAAGCCATTAGAACCACATCATCTGCAAAAAGCAGTGGTGCAATCCTTAGTCCACCGAACGGCAGACCCCCTCCCCCATGACTACGCCTCGAAATCCGATCCATGTATATTACAAACAGGATTGGTGACAAAGCGCAGCCCTGGCGGAGGCCAACCCTCACCGGAAATGGGTCCGACTTACTGCCGAGGACCCGGACACAGCTCTCGCTTTGGGAGTATAGAGATTGGATGGCCCTGAGTAGAGACCCCCTCACCCCATACTCCCGCAGCACCTCCCACAGTAACTCCCTGGGAACTCGGTCATACGCCTTCTCCAAGTCTACAAAACACATGTAGACCGGATAAGCGTACTCCCAGGCCCCCTCCAGGATCCTTGCGAGAGTAAAAAGCTGATCCGTCGTTCCACGACCAGGACGGAATCCGCATTGTTCCTCCTCAATCTGAGGTTCGACAATCGGCCTGACCCTCCTTTCGAGTACCTTAGAGTAAACTTTCCCGGGGAGGCTGAGTAGTGTGATGCCTCTGTAATTGGCACACACCACCCCGGTCTGCCACTCCTTCGGTACCGTTTCCGACTTCCACGCAACGTTGATGAGACGTGTCAACCATGACAGTCCCTCAACACCCAGAGCCTTCAGCATTTCCGGGCGGATCTCATCCACCCCCGGGGCTTTGCCACTGTGGAGTTGTTTGACGACCTCAGTGACCTCCCCCCGGGAGATTGGTGTTGATCCCCCGTCATACTCCAGCTCTGCCTCTAACATAGAGGGCGGAGTTGTCGGGTTCAGGAGTTCCTCAAAGTGTTCCTTCCAACGCCCTAACACTCCATCAGTTGAGGTCAACAACGTCCCATCCTTACTGTACACAGCTTGGATGGTTCCCTGCTTCCCCCTCCTGAGGTGTCGGACAGTTTTCCAGAACAACTTTGGTGCCGCCCGAAAGTCCTTCTCCATGTCTTCTCCGAACTTCTCCCACACCCGCTGCTTTGCCTCGGCCACGGATGAGGCTGCTGCCCTTCGGGCCTGTCGGTACCTTGCAACTGCCTCGGGAGTCCCCCGGGATAACAAATCCCTGAAGGCCTCCTTCTTCAGTCGGACGGCTTCCCTGACCACCGGTGTCCACCAGGAGGTTCGAGGGTTACCGCCCCTTGAGGCACCTAGGACCTTGAGACCACAGCTCCCCGCCGCGTCTTCGGCAATAGAGGCTTTGAACACCGACCACTCTGGTTCAATGTCCCCAACCTCCACAGGAATGCCCGAAAAGCTCCGCCGGAGGTGTGAGTTGAAGGCCTCCTGAACTTGGGCCTCCTCCAGACGTTCCCAGTTCACCCGAACTACACGTTTGGGCTTACCAGGTCTATCCAGAGGCTTCCCCCGCCACTCGACCCAACTCACCACCAGATGGTGATCAGTTGACAACTCCCATTTATTTATATTTGTATTTATTTAATAATGATGTTTCGCCTTCGTCCTACAGATGGGTCAAATTGTGTTTTTTTTCTTTTATGCAGAAAGGGGCACAGCCAAGATTATTTAAGTCCAGAAACGACCTTATAGTAACCCATAACTCGTTCCCTCCCTTGCAGCACCATTGCCAAATGCCTCAATGGAATTGAGTTCCTTTATTGTCATTGTACAGGTACAACAACATTTAAAAAGCAATCCTGTCATAACAAGTAATAAAATAAAACAAAAGTATACATATGTATCCATACACTTAACCCTTATGTTGTGTTCTGGTCTCCCGTGACCCGTTTCAAGTTAAAATGATATAATAACTACGCTCTAGTTTTTTGTATCGGAACAAGGCTTCATGATATCCTCCACAACGGCTATATAAACACTACAAAACTGATTTTGAACATTTTAGCCAAGTCTGAAGGTCTCTAAAAAAAAAGTGTATAATTTGGTGTTAGGGTCTGGGGAGACCCGGCAGAATTGTTTTGGGTGACTCTGGGTCAAATTTGGCCCAATCAAGATTCATCTTTGACTTTAGACACCCCTCCCCCTTCATCCACTGTAACAATAACATGCACCTGGTCTCCCCTCCCCCCACGGGAACTCCACCTTTCTCAAATAATATGTACACTAACACTTGAACCTGAACACACACATGTGTGCAATATGTGGTGTAATATGTTTTGGAACCATAACATTGAATTACAACAGGATTGTACGGTTATGAATGCATAATAAGTTAGTTAGTCCACAACATTGGATGATAGTCATTCTTTTGAGTGTTTTGGACCGAGATAAATCATGGGTCAAAATGTACCCGCGAACACCACAACAGCTTTGTACATACATACATGCAATAAATACATACATACAGTGTTTAAAAACAGACAGAAAGTGGATTTACATTTCAGAGTTTTCGCTTCTTCAATATTTACAAATAGATAAATGCAGGAATATATTATGTGTTGATGAGAAAGGTGTAGGGCAGTAGCAATGTGTGCTAGATAAGATTGAGTTTTCTAATTGCTAGAGAGTTTAAGTGCCTTTATTTCAAAACCTCGTCCTCAGATCCATTCATGTTCCTGTAATGCAGAAGTTCTTCAGAACCAGCAGAGGGCGGATCACACCGCAGGTGCCTGAATCAGAATCTAGTTTATTGCCAGGTACGTTTACACATACAAGGAATTTGCTTTGGTATCTGGTTGTGCGAACATAAACAACACAAGGAAATAAGTTGGTAAAAGAAGAAATGTATAAGGATAATAAAAAATAAGCATTTTTAAGAAACAATTTAGCATTAAAAAAGCATGCTAATGCTAAAGACAAGTATTTACACCAGATTTAAGTCTAACTATACAAATAACCTTAACAGCTAAACAACTAAAGGAGGACTTAGGAAAATGAGTATATCTATGGAAAACTACAGTGTATTATATTTGAAAGTGGAGGAGATGTGCGCAGAGATGTGCATAAAGCAGTCAGAGTTGAGCATGACCGGTGGAAGGTGAGTTACTGTCTGCAGTCACCATGAGACAGCAAAGAAACCTCCACAAACACCATGATGTTTACACCAGTTTGTGATTCACACTCTAATGACAGCTGGGTATATCGGCCCTGAACCTGGAGCACAACGGAGACAACCTGAGGAACAGGAAGAGAGAAAGGACTACAAACAATGAAAGAAAGATGGAAATTCAGTGTGAAATTATCTATCTATCTATCTATCTATCTATCTCTCTCTCTCTCTCTCTCTCTCTCTCTCTCTCTCTCTCTCTCTCTCTCTCTCTCTCTCTCTCTCTCTCTCTCTCTCTCTCTCTCTCTCTCTATCTATCTATCTATCTATCTAACTATCTATCTATCTATCTATCTATCTATCTATCTATCTATCTATCTATCTAGTTCAAATACCTTACAAGTGAATCATTTGTAATCATATAGTCTCAAATATTTAGATTTTACTTCATTTAAAATATTCTGACCTTTGGTTGCTTTTTCAGAATAGCCAGTAGCAGCAGCTGATGGTAACTGTTATATTGCTAAATACAAGGTACAAAGTGTGTTACAACAACTAAAATATAACATTGTATGCATTAAATCTTTATTAATTGTGCTGTATTTGTATTTATTGATAACAGAAACCAAGGTAGGATGTTTGTAAAGTTTCAGCAGTTTGCAGACAAAGCGTTTTTGTACCGGTTGTAGCTTCGCCTTCAAAATAACAGCGCAGACGGTGGGAGGTCTACTAGGCAAATCTGGGTTTACTGTGTATTGGGGTCACTGTTTGTGACACACACACACACACACACACACACACACACACACACACACACACACACACACACACACACACACACACACACACACACACACACACACACACTATTCTGTGCTACCAAACGTGTTTTTTATGTTGTGGTCGAGGACATATGGGCCCAATTCCAAACCTAGAAAATAAATTAATATGAAATAAATTAATATGAAATAAATAAATACAAAATAAAGGAATAAAATATAAGTCAGTTGAAAGCCAAACTAAAAAGGTGGGTCTTGACTTGACTCAATTTCAAAGCTTCAAGGAGTATAATATAAAAAAATAATAAAATAAATACTACTTCATAAGTCCTGAAGCCAGAAATATAAAGTTTTAAAACACATTTTTTATATCCGTGTAAAACGTGTTCCAATTTACGTCTTTTATTTTGAAAATCCTACACATACAGAATGTAGCTAGCTTCATGCTGCCACAAAACAGCGACCACGAGACTCATCCAAAATAGTCCCAATGATGAACCTTAGCTTAAGTTGTTAATACATTTACAAGAAATAGCAGCCTGGATAATTAAGGGCTATTTTACATCTGAAAAAGTACTTTATTTAGTTTTAAAAAAGATGCATTTTTAAAGACACCCAGTGCAAACAGGGCTTATAATAGCCCAGACTCCTCCCCCGGAGTTGTCCTGGGAAACACTAACAACTGAGAGAAGAAACTGTGAGAAACTGGAGGAAAGTGCTCTCAAAGCTCCTGTACCTGCAGGTGTGAGACCCTCCGTCGCTCATACATTTTTATTTTACAGTTAAAAGTAGTTTTTAAAGGACTTAAAAACTGCCGGTCCATCGTCCCGGAGGAATATTAATATGCAACCAAAAGCTGCTTCACTTCTCTGAGATCAAAGGTAAGACAAGTATTTTATTGCAGTGAGATATGACTGTACTCTCGCGGTGTTTGGGGTGTTTTTGAGGTGTTTTAACACTGGGAGAAGAGGTTATAATGGCTGCTGGACCTGTTGCTTTGGGAGCCATGACATCCTCATTCAGAGCCTCTTCTCACGTTGCTGTTGTCCCATAGAAATGTAAAATGACACCACCCAACAGAAGCTACAGTTTAACATAAACGCTTTATTCAATGTGTTCAGTGGTGTAATGTAACTAAGTACTGCACTTAAGTTCAAACATTTACCTACTTCAGTATTTCCATTGTATGCTACTGTGTAATTCTACTCGACTACAGTTCATAGGTAAATGGTGTACTTTTCCTCCACTACATGTATTTAATACCTTCAGCTACTTTACAGATGTGGATGAATGAAATATAATCAAGTGTTAAATCTGGAGTAAATCCACAAGCTACCCTGCAGAATACAAAGTCATTCAAACTAGCTGCACCTTGACCAGCTTTGAGAACACTTTCATGATCAATCATTATAAAACATATCATATATATTATTCTGAAATGGACCAATCTGCACAATGACTACTTTCACTGTCGCTACTTTCACTATATTTTGATGAGAATACTTTTCTACTTTTACTTGAGGAACATTTTGAATGCAGGACTTTTACGGTAACAGAGTATTCCTACACTCTGGTACTTCTACTTTTACTCAAACACAAGATCTGAGTACTTCTACTTTTACTCAAGTACACGATCTGAGTACTTCTACTTTCACTTAAGTACAAGATCTGAGTACTTCTACTTTTACTCAAGTACAAGATCTGAGTACTTCTACTTTTACTCAAGTACAATATCTGAGTACTTCTACTTTCACTCAAGTACAAGATCTGAGTACTTCTACTCAAGTACAAGATCTGAGTACTTCTACTTTTACTCAAGTACAAGATCTGAGTAGGCTACTTATACTTTTACTAAAGTACAAGATGTGAGTACTTCTACTTTTACTAAAGTACACGATCTGAGTACTTATACTCATACAAGATCTGAGTACTTCTCATTTTACTAAAGTACAATATCTGAGTACTTCTACTTTTACTCAAGTACAAGATCTGAGTACTTCTACTTTTACTCAAGTACAAGATCTGAGTAGGCTACTTATACTTTTACTAAAGTACAAGATGTGAGTACTTCTACTTTTACTAAAGTACAAGATCTGAGTACTTCTACTTTTACTAAAGTACAAGATCTGAGTACTTATACTTTTACTCAAATACAAGATCTGAGTACTTCTCCTTTTACTCCAGTACAAGATCTGAGTACTTCTACTTTTACTAAAGTACAAGATCTGAGTACTTCTACTTTTACTAAAGTACAAGATCTGAGTACTTCTACTTTTACTCAAGTACAAGATCTGAGTACTTCTCCTTTTACTCAAGTACAAGATCTGAGTACTTGTACTTTTACTCAAGTACAAGATAAGAGTACTTCTACTTTTACTCAAGTACAAGACCTGAGTACTTATACTTTTACTCAAGTACAAGATAAGAGTACTTATACTTTTACTCAAGTACAAGATCTGAGTACTTATACTTTTACTCAAGTACAAGATAAGAGTACTTCTTCCATAAGACGTTAATGGCAAGAACAAATATTATTCTTTAAGATATGAAAAAAAGGAAATAAAAAAGCGCTTAGCTTAACAACATTCGCGATGACAAAGAATATTATAAGTAAATGAAATAATTGATATTACGAGCTGAACTGGTTATGAGTTGATATATCCCTAGGGCATGTTTGCAAAAAACCACGTGATGTAGAGTCACTCTTTGTGGTAATAAAATCAAACATTAAATACTATATTAGCAGTTTGGGGGTAAAAAGTCATTGCTCTGCGTGAATCATTTGCTCACACATCTCCAGGAATGATACCAATGTATATATAAGGATTTATTATATCATGTATTGTATTCACAGTACACATGTATGTCTACAGTTCACATATTTACAACAAGCTGTATCTTTATCCCACTGTACACTTTTTAAATTTAAATTCAGTTTTGTCTTATTTGTGTGTATTATTTCTTATTCCAGCATCTTACTTGCACTATTTTTCCGTCTTTTTTATGTTTATTGCGTGTAGCATCGCTCCGTAACCGTGTGCATCCGACTAATACAGCCTTTAAGTTTCAATATTGCAAAGCTTTAACTGTCCATGCTATAATAACTATGATAAATATACCATTAAGAAGGATAAGATCATTATGAAGTGTGTGGAAGCAGACCTTTAGGGGTCTATGTTCTCCTCCTGTTTGATGGCAGTGGGAGGATCTGCACACATGTGAAGGGAAACAGAAGCGTACTAATTCATTTACACTCGCTTGACCTCACCCAGTTAAAAACGTTCAAAGGACGAGGCGAATAAACATGGCCGCCCTCTGGTTTCCCATTTTGTAACGCACCCATGGCTCAGAGGTGGCATCGAGGAACACATCGTCTCCATCATCCTTCTCAAATCCAATCATTTATTCAGAAGTCATCAGACAGAATGGAGATCTGTGAAATGGGACATCCTAATAAGATATATGAAGCTTTCAAAGGGGCTTAAAGGAGCTTGTTCCAGAGTAGATAAACGAGCTAAGTGTGTTAGGTCTAACTCTTAGTGTATTTCATTTTGCTCCATTCCCGCGGCGGAGCTGTGATCATGCAGAGCTGCATGTTCTCTGTCAGCAGCAGCAGCTGATCTGATCTCTGATCTCTCTCTCTCTCGCGTCCGGTTAGACTTCACTCGCGTTTATGTCCAAATCCATCAGATCTAGATAGTTCTAGTTCTAGTTAATGATATGACTGCCTGCTTATCAAAGGACCTAAACAATAAGCGTTGCTTGGCAATGGCTTGTGACCCATGCTCATAAAATGCTCATATATCTTTTTCTCTTCATTCACTCAAAATAAATAAATAAATATACCAATTTTAGGAAAAGTAAGGAAGTTTGAGCAGTTTGGGTTTTATATTAACAGAGTTACACATATTTCAAAACGCGTAGTGTAATAACTGCAGTGGCCTCCCTGTCAGAACGACAAAGATCCTCAGTGAAGCTCAAGCCCATGTTTCACTACATTGTAACTTATTAAAAAGATCAGTTCAATGCAACTAATGTCGTCTCAGTGTTATTGCTTGATGTTGAAATTGGTTTTCCATGAATTTAGTGATGGATTGTAAACATTTGAAATGTAGCATTTAAGTGTTTCTCAGTTACAAGGTGGTTGTTTTAATGAATCAGACTCTGATGGTGCAGCGCTGTACTGTACCTCTTTATAGGCATTTTTTCCATAACAAATTGTTTTTGCGCTGATCGGGGGGGTACTTGGCTGAATCCTTTTTTCAAAGGGGGTACATTATTGAAAAAAGTTTGAGAACCACTGAACTAGATGGTCCCAAAGATGTATTTTATCAGGCTAAACGCTGGTTTTGAAACAGGTAAGATATAATAAACACAAATATATTTAAATCAGGAGAGACTTCATTCTTCAAGCGCTTCAAGATGATTAGACCCCGGTCCTGATATCTTAAGGGGGAAATGCAGCCGTGAGAATAATAGGAAACTCCCCGGGGTCTAGATGTGGGTAATGATGATGAAGATCTTGATTTGATAAGTAGAAGGGATGAAGAGGAGGTGTGATGAAGAGGTGGATTGATGAAGAGGTGGATTGATGAGGAGGTGGGATAATGAAGATTTAAATTTAAATCTTTGGGTTTAAAATGATGAAGCGCAACATTTGAAGACATCACGTTGGACTACACTTTTCATTGACATTTTATTAACAAACCTTTGAGAACATAATTGTAAATCGCTGTATTACAAATAACATGTAAAGCTAAATGAGAAAACTATGGCATCGAACTATAATGATGTCTAATCTTTGTAGTCCTTTTAGAGAACGCTAGAGAATGATTTATATGCGCGTGTGGTGCAGTGAATTGTGCGTTGGTGTTGGGATCAGGGGGGCACAGGTTCAAACCCCACTGCAGTCAGCATGTCGTTGTGTCCCTGAGACACTTCACCCCAAATTGCTCCTGTGGGGATCGCCCACAGTATTGAGTATGTAAGTCGCTTTGGATAAAAGCGTCTAACAAGTAACACGTACTACAGCTGTGGACTGAATGAATTTGAACTTAGTTAATGACAGTCACAGTGTGAAAAGTGGACATACACCTGTTCATTTTTCCCCAAAGGTGTGTCTGATTCACGTTATCACTTAAAATACCTTGATACGTTTTTAAAAACTTGTAGGAACTATATTCTCCCAAAAATAAAAAATGGTTTAATATCCTACACGAAAAATCTCCATTTCTGGTCTACACTTTGTTTAACCTGTGGAACCCCATCCCCCCCGCCCCGGGCGGAAAAACGCATCATCTGCAGGAAACAGCGTCTGAGGACTTCTTAATATTTAATAAACTATGAATGTTTTATATCCATGTACCGGGAAGAAACTCAGCTAACTGATCATCTTTTTTCTTTTTTCAAAAAAAACCACAAAGCTAGCCCTGAGCCTCTGAATTAGCCACGAGCGAAAAAAAATGCTAATGCATTACTGCACAGAAACTCACTCATAACACCCTTATTACTTAGCGTAGCTGCACGTCCAACCCGTCGATTAGCATCGTGAGAAGACACAGAATCGATCGGTACCTACATTATCACTCCAGGATAAGAACTCGCGAAGATATTAACAAAAACAGAGATCAAAACATGTGGCGCTAGGTAGCTAAAAACGACAAAAATGGCTCACCTGTGTCGTAGTCTGGTCAAAAGTGGTCTCAATGGCATTAAAACGATAAAAACGCTGCTGAAGTTAATCCAATGTGTCTGTGTCCCTTGATGATTTCTGATCATCCATAAGCAATAAACCTGCTTTTCCGTTTCCAGATGTCAGAGCGAGAGATAGGTTCACTCTGGCCAAAACTGCATGCACGAAGCCCCCACTTTTTTTTGTTAA